AAGTCCACCAGGACCAACTCCTCGATTGCACAACTCAGCCCAGAATTTGGTAGCAGTGGAATGGAAGAGAATACTCCTTTGCTCCTCAGCTCATCTGAAAAATACTTGTCTGCTAGGATCAACAGAAGAAAAGAGAAGATGGAGTAACTTTTACAACACAGCTTTGCTTATTTCTTTTCTAATGCTGCTATATTTTTCTCATTTTAAAATTAGGAGCTGCCATCAGAGAGGGCAGAGGGAAATAGCACAAAGGGTTTGAATTGAGAGCTGTAAACAAGACAGAGTTCTCACTCCCTCTGCTGGAAACATTGGTGTCAAAGTGAAGCAAAATCCAAAACAGGGAATTGCATTTACATTGATGGGGAGGATTCCTGAGATATGGACACTTATGTAAATTTGTGAATTAGTTAAAAATTTTAAGAAAGATTTTTTGAAAAAAGAAAACCTCTAGAACTATGTAAGAACTTGTGAATGTACAGATTTTGATGGCTGTTGAATGTTAAGAATGCCAGCTGGCCATGTTCTCAAGCCCTGAGAACTTATAATGAAGCTCAGTTTTTACAAAATATTGACTTCATGCACATGGTATCATTTCTACAGGTGTACTTAAAAAATAAAACAAAAAATGTGTATAATATGGAGAAGGGAAGTTTATACCTTCTCTGAACTGTTGGTGATGGCCACCCAACTACAAGAGCCTACACTGTTGTGCCAGGATATTTCTGGTTAGCATATGGCCAGGAAAAAAACAACAACATGGACATGTGGCAGGAGATTAGATCTTACAATTCCACATATACACCTCCTCAAAAGTCAGTCCCAGTGACTTAATTGTATTTCTTCCCACAAAAGTACAAATTCAGATTGCAGTTGAATTTGGTTCCAGCAAGGTAAAGACACTGTGCTCCTCAGAATCTCAATAGGAAGAAGGCCATTTCTCATATCCCTGCTTTTCGTACAATTTCTAATAGAAGCCATGCAATCAAAAGATTTAGAAGAGAGAATGAAAAGTAAATTCTGAGCTGTGTTTGTGTTTTGTAGATTCCAGAGGCCTTCCACAACTCTAGATAGGTCCACCTTTTCCACTCTAATCACAGCCCTTGCTGTTCATTTACTTACCTATTTATCTCTGGTTGAAATCTATTCAGGCAGAAACCAAGATGTCAAGGCATTGTGCATTAAACAAAACTTTGGAGGAAAAAAAAATCCACATACAGTATATAGCTTTACAATTGAGCACAAAGTCTATTATTTTCCTATTGCACTGGACCACAACAAGGAAAAAAAAAACAGTTTTTTTTTACATTAAAGTTTTTGTTTTAATTAGTGAAACAATTATTATCAATGTAACAAGCTGAAAAATACAGCAACCTGATAGAAGACTGAGGTAACAAAATACTTTGCCAGAAAAACTTAAAAGACTCCCACACAAGGGTGAAAATTTCAGTAGTTATCTTGAATGAGACAATTCACAAGGAGTTTGAGAAAGAGGCTGTACAATAAAATGGCATGCAATGGACTGCTGGAAATAAGACTAAAAAGAAAGTAAAAATAAAATAGTGCAACAGGTCTCACCAAAATAAAACAAAATTAAAATCTAGAAATGAGTTTATACCACAAGGCAAATGGGCTGAAAAACCAGATACTATTGTTTCTGCCTCCACTGAGTGCTACTTGGAAAAAAAAAACATGCATTTTGGCACTAGGTTTACACAAGCTAATAAATTAATAATAAATAATGTTGCCTCAATACAGCTACACAAATCATCATCCTGGAAATAAACTGACAGGGACCATATTAGCAAAAATGGCTAAACAGAAGTCAATTCCACAGAGTTACCTGCCCTGGGCAGGAGAGGGCAGTACTTCAGATTCAAAAGCCAAAACTCTTGGAGTAGCAGCATACTCAGACGTACGCTGCTCTGCCATTCCATCAACCAAACGTGTCTTTGCCTGGACCTGTTTTGCTTCAGTGGGCTGCTCCGTCTCAGGAGAAGACGCTTCTGGTTTAAGGAGCTGTGTAGAGGCAGGACGTGAACACTCCTGCGTGCTCCAAAGCCCCTTTTCATTTGTACATTTGATGTACCACCCAACCCTGATGGCTCTCACAACCTCTTCTTGCAATCTGGTCATCCCTGATGGAACCATTCCATCCACGCCAGCCCTGAAGGCCACTTTCAAAGTTGGGCACGTGTACCTTTGCACACATTGATCTGTTTCCATCGTTGAAACAAATCAGGTGGTTTGCGAGCGTGGGAGAATGTCCGTGTCATTATCAGAGAGACGTGGGACTGTGGATTAGGGCGTGGCATTCTCTCTGCTCGAGACTATATTTTAAATAGTACCAATATGCACCACTTAATTCACAGTAAAAGATGCACCCCCCCCCAAAAAAAGCTAAATAGACCTTCATGCTTTTTATAGGAAAATTACCATTTAAATGTGGATTATGCTAATAACAATATACTGTTCTATTACTCATTTATTTCACCTTTTAAAACACCGTGCAGCAAAGCTGCCTGTATTGCTGAATGAAGCACCATATTACTCCATTGTCACACCAATCATTACTGTACAATTTTCCCTGTCTGTGGGATGCAGCGCTAGCTCTACAGAAGTCAAAACGATGGCAAACCTTTGCAACACTGGGTCTTTTAAAAAAAAAGAAAAGAAAAGAAAAAGTGAAAACTATCCCCTACGTTCCAAGTGCAGACTTGCAGAGGGACTTTCAAATAGGTTCGTTCCAAGATTCGGCCTTCTCTCCGCAAATGCATGCAAGTTCCTTTCATTATACATGGAGATTCGTCTCTACTTGGGCGCACCATGACAAGTCCTTTTCCCGTTCCTACAATGTCATAAAAAAGCTCCTGATGATTTCCAGTCCAAAGAAATTTTGAGAGAAGGGGACAATGGATGTTGGTGAGACCGGGGAGACACTTCCCCCCTTTAAGTCAGAGCCATTTTTCAGAGACTGGTTTTTCCTCTTTCTCACCAAGTAGAACAAAATCTAAAAGTTGTTCCAAGAACTTTTGTTCTGAAAGTATTGGACAATCAAATCCTGAACTTTCTATTCGGAAGTCAGCCCAACCAGTTCAGCACACTTACGATGTCAAGACCTCATAAAAACCACTTCCTCTCTTGAACAGCAACAGGGTCTGGCTAAGGGCTGTTGCCATTAATCACTTAACTGTGCATTATACATTGACTCATGCATCACCAAGTCAGTCTGGGGTGTTTATTCTAAGAGATGAATCAGGTTAATTTGCACTAGTAAATCCGCAGTGTAAGTAGGAATTCATTCCGGGCAATTCAAAACCTAATTTTTAAAAAGGAGTCCACAGTCTGTATTTTCATCCATGTATATTTTACTCTCTAAGCAACAGGTTAAGTTTTTGTACCGATTCTTTTTTTTTTTTTTGACCCAAACACTGAACCTGTGGGCAAACCTGAATGCTACTTTCATACCCTTCCAGCAGCTTGCTAACAGTCTCATCACTCCGTTATGAATGTCATGATTCCCTTTTGTTGCAAGTAGGTTTTTCATAACAGAGAAAAGTCTCATTTTTTGATTTACTGTTTCTCAGTAGATATTCCTTGCCTTTTCAGCACATCTGACATTATTATATTATTCAGAAATAAAGGGAAGATGCTTAAATTCAGCACAACTGTAAACGGTTATTATTATGCAATTTGGGCTCAAATCTGCCAGATGCAATTACCTTCCTAGCTCCGTTAATCGGTTTGGAAGCCAAATTTTTAATTACCATTATGCAACTGGCAAGAGATGGCTCTTTTTATAGGCTCCAGGTGAATGGCCTATCCTCATATACAGAGGCGTTATTAAGCAATATGTCTTCACGTCTGATAGAAAATCCAGAGAAATGATGCATCCTCAGGAATAATTTTTCTGGACAACAGGCATTCAGAATCGCAATGGATGCCAGGTTGTGATGACTAAACAGAAAACCATATTAATTTGCACATTGTGAAACTGGTTCTTGGACATACAGAAGTTCTACAGCAACTACCTAACTTGTAGCCCACAATTTGCTGCACAGCCTCCCAACGACTTCACTGAGAGGAAAAGAAGGATCTGGGGAAAACACCGGGCTGAGACGTTTTCAGATTTCCTGCAAAGGAACTGCCAAAGTTCAAGAGTTTCTTTCACTCTGAGTCCTGGGTTTCACTCTTAGGAACAGGGGACAGACATACAGCATGACAATTAAAAATGCATTACAATCATGAACTGCTGAGACATTTAGCATATATTTAAAGTAAACACCTGCTTCAAAGATAACCAAGATACAGTCAGATCAGTAGCCAGCAGGCCCTAGAGAGCACATTTCTTCAAGCGCAGAGCTGTTTATCCAAAATGACCACTGGCTCCCTACATATATATTAAGAGCTGGGCTCAGGAAGCCATGAAGCAGCTAACGACTTAGTGGAAAGGCATAGTTGAAATGGGGACAATTTAGCTATTCTATCTTGCTTAAAAGAACACTGACTTTCTGGCTGAGTAGAAGGGACTGATGACTGGTGGAAACATTCTCTTTCTCTTTAGGAGAAACAGGGGTGGTGGTGGGGAGGGAATAATCTCTCCTACCAAGGCAGGAGAGCCCATATCAATTGTTTTCATTCAACAAAGGCTCTCTATGAGTGGGAAGTTCTAAAATCAGCCCCGCGGGAGTAGGTAATGCTTGCACAGTGAGACATTTTTGATGAACAGCGCCCCTCAACCCCCAAACAAAACAATTTAAGGCAAATACTTCATTGGGGATGAAGTCACCCAGAAGGAGCCTTAACATCAAGTGAATTTCAGCAGCAGTAGTCCCTTTGTTGCTAGGGGTACCTCCAGTTAATGAAATACAAAACAGCACAATTAATTATGAGAAACAAACAGAAAATTACAGGTGGTTTATCTTGTGCCAAAATACACATTTCCCAAATAGCTTCAGTAGGAACATCAGTCGTGTCCCTAAATTTGATACAAAATCTGAGGCAGCCACATGGCTAAGCAGCTCAGTGCACTTAAGGTTATAAAAATGTTGTTCCACAATGTTCTATTCTAATTGACACTTTGCAGCAAGTTAACACTGTCAAATGTTTTTGTGCATTAGAAATAACTGTAAACCCAACATGGGCTAGAGGTTCTTCAGTCACATAAAGCAGCTCAACAATAAAAAGAGCAGTTAAAAAAAATCTGCAGAGATGTGACACATAGTTTGTGGCAGGACAGAAATCCACAGCCGTCTGTGACCACACAGCTAGAGTCAAGGACTCAAGGATCCTGCATGGGGCAGGCTGCATCTTCGAACAGTCTAAATCATCTCACTTTCATCAGTGCATTGGGTTAGATCCTGTCCCAAGGACAACATTCACATTCTGTTTCTAGAAGCTGTGTCATAATTACTTTCAAGTTACATCGAAAAGTGCTGAAATTGCTGCTGTTGACAGCTGTTTTACTCTGAAGTCTCTCCTCCTTTCTTCAATGGGAACCATCTTCCCATCCTGCAGTTTGGCACTGGAAGTTATACCGCACACTGGAGCAGGTTACTCAAATGACATAAGGTTTGCAGGTACCTGGAAGAGCAAAGAAAAACAGTCAGTGAATAGTTCCAGATAAATGGGTCATGGATGGAAGATCCTTGCAAGAAGACTCCTTCCCCAGAAAGTCAAAGGGCATGAAGAAAAAAGGGAGCACAGAACCAGCTCATTCTGAGTTTGCAAAAGTTACATCTGAAGCCACATGGATAACTTGAGATGGACCAATCTCAAATGTTTGTACTGCTCAGCACCAGTGGTTGCACTGGCAGAATGGTTAAGCAGATAAGACTGGCTGTCTAGTGCTATGCAGCTCAGCTCTAATCCACACTATGTTGCTTCTTGATTTAGCAAGGTGAAGAATCCAGTGCTTGCTTCATGTATTCTAAGTCCAGAAGATACCTCCAAGACCACAATGTTTTTGGTTCCACTTCTCCCTCCAACTTTTCTCTCTGTTTGGTAGAGATTGGCCTGTACTACCACCTTGGGAAACAGAAACAAATGCACCCGGGCAAAATTTCTCAGGAAGTTTTGCAAACACTCTAACCCAGTTAGAAAAACATTTCTACATGGCCATTGTTTCCCTTACAAACCACAACCAAGAAGTTTTACCAACCTGAGGCCTGTTGCTTCTGCACGCATCATCCAAATGCTTGTGCCACAGTATTGCGTGAAACCTGGAGCCGGTCTGAAACTTGTAAACATTGCCTGCAGAGTTTAAAAAAACAACAACTAAAAAACAGAATCTTTGTGATCTGAATCACAGACACCAATAACAGCAATAAAGAACAGCACCTTGAATGTAAAAAAATCCACATCTTTAAGATTAATATTTTATATTGCCTTTCCATGAAGAAGCCACAGAAGTGATGTAATGCCTTTCAGAAAAAGAATAAAATCATATAGCAGAGAACCATACACAAGCCTTTATTGACTGACAACATTTACAGATTTAAACTGTAGCATGCTGCCCTGAACGTTTGTTACAGCTTACTTATTTAGAGGAAGGAAGGAAGGAAGGAAGGAAGGAAGGAAGGAAGGAAGGAAGGAAGGAAGGGAGGAAGGAAGGAAGGAAGGAAGGGAGGAAGGAAGGAAGGAAGGAAGGGAGGAAGGAAGGAAGGAAGGAAGGGAGGAAGGAAGGAAGGAAGGAAGGGAGGAAGGAAGGAAGGAAGGAAGGGAGGAAGGAAGGAAGGAAGGAAGGGAGGAAGGAAGGAAGGAAGGAAGGAAGGAAGGAAGGAAGGAAGGAAGGAAGGAAGATGTAATACTCCCATTTTCTCTGGATCTGATCTCAGCTTGCTCATTCAAGCTGGTCTTGAAGACAGCAGATGTCTTCAGAGTGATTCTGAACTGACTTTTATATCATACAATCTCAACCTCCTCGCCAACATCCCGGTCCTGCTTCTGCCTCGTTCCTTAAGCATTTACATGAAGCCACAGGGAGCACTGTCAAGTTGTGTCACGGTAAGGAGTGAGATATTGTTTCTGCCGAGTTGGAGTTCCTTCACTCCATTTGCCTTGGCTGTTCGGACAGCAGCTGGGCTGAGCAGATGGCAAGATCTAAAAGGAGACCAGCTCCCTGTGGCTGAGCAGGGTTCACTAGATCCTCAGAGAGGCTCCTGTTGAAATATCCTTAGGATCTGACAGTTCTGAAAGTGACTGAGTACACACAGCACATTTCCCCCCATCACCCTAGGTACCCGTCTTTTAATTGAGGCGAAAGCTTCATGCATCAAAAGCTCACGCTCCAGGACTCTTTTTTAAAAAGAAAAACGTTGTCTGCTTTAGCACAACATCATCTTCTGAAGGAAGTCCAACTTAAAGTGCCCACCTTTATCTGGGTTATTTAGCTGAAAAATATCAGGGTGCTCCGGGTCATCAGGCAGGGCTACCATCCAGCCCACAATGGAAACTTTTTTTCCTGGAGTAGATTTATACTATGAAATGGAAAGCAGAATAAAAATAGCAGTTAGACGGCTCTGGCTGCTCTCCGGGAAGTTTGATTTCCCTATTGATGGAGTGCAACATGGCGACCCTCCTACACAAAGAGGCAGAATTCAGTGCCACAGAGAATCCTCGCCCACTGCTGTGACTGGCTGCATCTAGCCTGAAAGCATCCTTGCTTAGCTTACGTGCTTCCTCTCACTGCCTCTTAAGGACTTTGCTCCAAAATAGATCAGAGTAGATCCCGAGAGAGTAATCCAGTATCTAGTCCAGGAAGACAGCTGGAAAAATGAAAGAAGGGAAATGTAAATGCCAAACCTTCCCCTTGCTTTATTGTATTACAAGATTTCTATCCTGCCCCATTCAGTAGAATCTGGGAAGTTATAAAAGTACCATTTTGAAACCATGAACTGCCCAGAGTCACTTTTTCGTGAGATGGGCGGTATCTAAATTTGAAATATAAATAAATAAATAAATAAAAATAAGTGAACCTTCAAGGCAAAAATATGGCCGTGAAGGAAACGCAGCAGATAAAGAAAGGCTGAACAGTCAAGCATGTTACAGATTTTTTTAATGGTTTTAGTGTGTTTTTTTCCCCTACCACAAAAGGTTGGAAAAGAGATGTCAATAGATTCCTTGTTGTACCCATGACTCCTTTTTGAATGGAAACATGGAAGAATGACGAGAGTTCCTGTATCTTTATTCATTGTTTATCGGAAAGAGTAAAGGAACTTTGGTACATGTGGGGTGTCACTCAAAGTTCAGCTCATGTTCAACAATTACAAGTACAGATATGTTTATTGTCCCACCCGTAGTCTGCTTCTAAGTCCCATTAACGTAAGGAGAACAGGAGAGCAGACATATTGCTCCATTGACGGAAACCGCAATGTAGCAACCGTGGATATTTCTGCCAATGTTAATGATGGGTATCCACGCTTTGCCCCAGTCAAAGCATACTTGACATGGTTACCGTAGGCTTCCGGCCTTCCTTCAGCAGCGTCTTTCTTCTTAAGGGTCCTTCCATAGTCACAACTCCCATGGAACTCCCCGATCTGCAGCTGCAGGCACCTGCTGGGCTGAACCAACAAGTGGGCATTGTTTGCGGGATCAGCAGCAATCAACCAATTTTCCCATTATGACAGCATGTTGCGCAACCCATCTTCTTCTAAACACGGACCCTGAAAGTTCTTTTTTCCCCCTTCTTCTTTATTCAAAGAACTGCCTTTGTAGTCTAGGACTAGTATTGCACTGCCTGTTCAATCACAAGGAAAGCCCATTAACTGAAGGATGACAATGGGGGACATGAAATACAAACTTTCTTGGCTGACGGCAGTGCTGAAAACAGTGCTGTGGCTGATGGATTCGACAAAGCCATTGGGTGTGAAGCCATGTGAATCCTAACTTTTACAACCTTGCTAAATAGAAGACAGGAACACTAATGAGAGCTGCAACTATATTTATTAAATATATAAAAACATTCAACAGGGACAGATTGATGATTTCCCAGTAGGAATTTCCTATTAACAAATACTCACAGGGGTCTATAAACTACACTGGACAATACTTACAGGAATACAGTTGCCCCTGAACAATGAAGTTTTCCAGAAGTTATCTACCACAGAGCTATTACTGGTTCAAGAAGAACCTGGTCCCATGTTGTCCAATGTTAGGCGAAAGTAGCCAATGTTCTTTTTATAATGGGAAGGACACAATCTTAACATTTACAAGAAACCACCTTTGATTTCTTGTACTCTTGCCAACTTCTGAACCTTTTACTTCCATGAACGTGGCCAATGGTCGTGATCCATTTAATTGCACAAAGGACATAGGATGAACTCCATAAGTACGTAGGTAAAATTGGATTACTAAATACTATGGACTGGACTCTGTCTGAACTATACCTTATTTATTATTCACGCCTTGTATGGATGACACAGAGTTCCTTCTGTATATGCTGCTTCCATACATACAGCAGTGTTCTTGGCTTATGATATCAAACAGCTGTCCCTTTTTCTTAATTAATGCAAGTAACAATGAGTCGTTCACAACTGTATTACAAATTTGACACTATACGGCAAATCAAATCAAATGCACGGTTTAGAAACGAAGGAAAAAAATGGTTTTTGAATAGCGGGTCTTCCATTTTTATGGAGCGATAGAAGGGAATTACTTTATTTTTCTGCTATCAGGACCCAAAACCTAAGTCAGATGAGACCTCTGCAGGACAGAAATCGGAACTCTTCAAAGAATCCACAATACCTCTGGACATGGAGAAATTAGTTCTCCTTGTTTGTAAACCTAGCATGCCAGTTTCAGAAAGTATTGTGTCCAGAAACATATGCTCCTTACCCCATGCTTGAACTTCCACTGTGCTACATTACACCTTTTGGATTCCAAAACAATGATGATACTAGCTCTTCCTCTTAGCTGACTGCTTTTCCCCATTTCTCTTAGAAATCCTCAGCTTCAGATATCTCAGTTTGTAGGAATGGAAACTTAAGCCAAGTGTCTTTTGGTGTCCAAAAGATGAGCAACTTGTTTATGGCAACATTATTTTGCAGGCCACAACCTATTTTGCCAAATACTGAAAGATTCTTCCGAGTGACATGGGAAACACCACATTTGGATAAACACATCAGCATATACTTAGAATTCTATCGATAGTGCACATGATTGTGTATTAGTAAAAAAAAAAAAAAATCTTTTAGCATACTAGCCAAGGCAAGGAATTTAGAAATGGTAAAGATGTTTAAAAATATTTATTCAAAAGATAAATAGAATGAAATAAAGGTAGACAAAATAAGGATTGAAATGGAAAATGTGCTTGAGAGTGGGATCATTTAAAAGGCGAAAAATCTTTTCTCCTCCACAGGACTCACAAGTCTTCATTGCCTGAGGTTTTTTCAAAAACTGAGCCCAGCGAAAGAATTAAGTTATGATGAAGAAGAACAGAGGAAGATATGCGAAGTTGTGCTATGAAGAACAAATGTTTTCTTTCGGCTCATCTTAGACAAACGGATTAGAATGATTACAATGCTGTTTGCATCCATTTACTGCTTATTCCTAAGTCACATACATTTCTGCGCTTCAATCCAATTTGGGAAGCATGTAGGTAAGGCCACTGGCACACCAGAGCTTGCTTCATCCCCCAGGGGGAAAAAAAGTTGTTTTGCTTTCATGATGCATGAAGTTATTGCACGCTTTGCTGAGACATGTGCATTTTCGATTCTGCTTTTACTGAAAGAAATGCATCGAGTCATTTTTAGCGCTCAGCTGTGTGTGCATCAAAGAGGAATCAACTTGAGGCCCAGCCTAACTCATTACGCAGCAAGTTAATTACTGTAATTAAATCTAAGTGTACTTGCAGGGAGTTTAGTTCACCTGCTTTTGATAGATGTATACGTGTGGTTTCTTTGGATCTGCAAGGCAACTGTTCACTGTTCAAAGCATACACTTAAGAACCGGCTACTAAAACCAACAGGGTTTTAAATGGGTTTAAATCTGGAGGACTACGTGCTTCTTCTTTATCTTCCATGTTTTATGTATGATAAAGTATGATAAAGACGACTAACCAGCACTTCTATGAAGCATGTTTATATGCAAAACTGCACGTAAACATGGGCAATCGTATTTCTCTGGTGTGGAGGTGAAAAGCATAGGAGTGAGTAAATAATGCAGTTTTCTACTCTTGGCAACCCCTCACTACTAGCATGAGAGGGAAGTCACTGCGCAGATGGAAGAAAAAAAATGACAATGCTGTTGAAAATAAGCTCTTAATTAGCAAGGGGGAAAGAGAGGGGGAAAGTAAGAGTTGGCACCATTGTCCAGGGAGAGACAGACCCACCACCTAATTGTACCTGTAGACACAGCTCCGACTTCTGGGAGAATTCCGAATTGGTACCCGCCAGTTGGGCCCCAGCGTGGCGTATAATCGACCCCTGTTTATGAATTCACATGTTAAGTTCTTTAGTTATAATGCAAATAGTGAGGCAACATCCAAAAAATAAAACATACAAGAAAATGTGGGGTGTGCACAATGGAATAGTAGCTTTAGTGATGGTTTCACTGCTCATGAAATCATGTTTTACACCTATGCGTAAAGTAAGTAAGATGAGCATTAGATTAGAATTAGATGTCAAAAAGAAATGAAAGGATCTTTGTGAAGCAGATCTCGGTGACTAACATTCTTTTTCCTTTACTTCTGAGCTTTACAAGTATTCTGAAGAGCTGCTTGGGAATAAGAGAGCTTTTAGGAAAAAGAAAATTTGCCCAGTCAGGTCAAGTGCAAAACTGAGAAAAATATCCAGGAAACAAACATATCAAATATCAAGGCATGATCAGAAGAACAATACTAAATGTTTGGAATCGGTTTGCAGTGCCAGGAATTAACTGGGGAACCTCTCATATGAAGCAAAGAGTAGTTATATTATAGCTGAATAAACACATTCCAGGAACAGTCAGATGGGCTTGCTCATAAGCAGACCAAAGACCCAGCACCTTCCTTTGAAGAAATCAAGACTCTGGCCCATCAATGACACTGCCCTTTAATGCTATACTCCAGCCCCCTTGAACGTGTGGCATTTGAAGAATAAATCTTGAGTGACTTCCATCTCCAACTCAATTGGTGAGATCACAACTTTGGCTGCTTAGGCGACATCTGACCAAGGCGAGTGAGAATACATTTGTTAACTGAAAGAGATGTGCCGGTTTTTAAGAGACAAAAGGAGTATTTTAACATTTGAACTTATGATGGGCTTCAAGGCAAGACATATTATGCCACCATACAAACATTTCTTATGGAAATATAATCAGGTACAGAAATACAATCTAATCCCTATCAGAAAACCAAGAAAACCTGGATTTATAGTTAAAATTTAAAAATATAGAAATCTCTCCTCAAACTGGACACGCTAATCAAACTTAGCTACGTTGCTGGAAATGCCCAAATTTTGGTCTCAAAGTAAATAAAAGATGTACAGTTCAGACACCTTGCCCAACTAAAGAACCTAACAACAGCACCAAGGCCCAGCAGAATTTCCATATTGCAATACTAATGAAGTGGGAAGCAAATGGGAGACTGTTCGTAAAGACCCTGCGTGAGAATAGCTAGGAGACTAACATGTATCTTTTTGTAAAACCATGTTCTGAATCTATTCTGTAACAATTCCTTTGGAGTTCTCAAAGCCTGGCATGGTAGCAAACTTGAAGGAAAAAACCACAAGGTTGAAATGTTTCTCCTACGTCCTCATCCAGATATAGTTAAATCTGTTTTCTGGAATAATGGAAGAAACAGGTATGTACTACACAAGCTTGGGAATCTTTGTTTGCAACTCCATTCCAGATAACTCCCAGCTGAAACTACTGAAGTAACAGAAGTTTTGATAGCTCAACTCAGTGGTCCTTTCCATTAATTACTGTGATTGCTCATAAGAATCTGAGATACAAAAGCTTGTGTCAGGGCTTGCCTGTCTTGTGAGTCTTATGAGAAGTGTGGCAACACGATCTACCATAACAAAGAGATCCTTCACACCCTCTTGTAACCTCTAAGGAACAGCATCTTTGACTACTAAAGATACAAGGCTCTTCATTTAGTTTAAAGCAGTTGTCTACTGGTCCCTTTACTGCTGCAGGAGAAGACAGAATATTGTCCACCAAAGAGGTTCAGTGTTTTCCTCTAACAAAGCCATCCTTTCTTCAAATGAATCTCCCCATATCTGCATGTTATCTGAAGTTGGCTCAATAAGAGAACAACTGCACTCCTCTGGGGATTACTGCAGGTGAGAAGTTTGTGATAGTTTCATTCTATATAGCACAGCTCCCCATTTATGCAGTGTATGGTATATTGGCATCTGATTTGATTTGCTTCTTCCACAGTATTGTTAAGATGGAGATATCAAACTGGTCATGGGGACATTGCTTCTGATTTTTTAAACATTTAACACTGCACTAGCCAGATATTTCAAGTACAATTAAATCTTTTCTCAAGTGAAAATCCTGACCTGTCGTTCCAAATGTCTAGGAAACTAGAGTTTCTGTTTCCAAATTCCAAAGGGTTCTTGAGTACCACTTCAATATTTTGTTAAAAAATCAAATTCAAGTGGTAGGCACTTTTGTATTTAAGAAGCTTAACATATTTTTGGGACACACTTTAGGGTACTCTGTCCTTAATACAATTCATAATTCATGACTACCAGCGCATAAATGTCTGTCACCAGGAAAGTATTTCCAAAAACAGCTAGTCCTCTTCCAATCACAAATGGCATGTCTATTCCAATAGAAAGCTCTATACTGAACAACACAAAGGCCACCATCTTTATAACCATCACCATCGATATTTATTTTTTTTAAATAAGGAAAGTCATGAATGATACACAGAATATCAGAAGAATAAGAACAGGTCTGAATTACTGATCACTATTAGCTGACATGTTTTACAACAACAGAATTTATTCCTGAGCAATATGGGTAGGCAAAAATGAAGTTCAAAAGCATCTTACCCTACGTTCAAGAACTACTCTGATGATACCTCCGTTTTCATTTATTTTATTGTAGCCAAGCCTTCTAACAAGAACCTCCAACATAAACTTTCACATTATATCACACTCTTCATTAAGCAGAAAACCCATTAAAACACCAGTCATCTTATTTAGCCATCAATTTAAAAAATCACATGAAAAGTGGGCAGTGGAGTTTTCATCTGCCAAGAAAGATCATCACGTTAAGAAGAATTGTGTCGACTTCTTACATCTTTATTTTATATACGTAGGTCATGGTGATTTTATGTGTAATGAATTAATATTTCCCCTACTATCATATATAAAGGATCCTTTCCTAGCAGAGTTGTTGTTTTTTTTTAAGTGCTGCTTTACTTTCTGTGCCTAAAAAAAGAGAGCCTTATCTGAGGTGGCTGCCAAGATAACATGGATTGGAAAAGATACTAGAATCTGAATTCCTTTGACTTCTCTTGTAATTTCCTAAATTTCACTTTAGTCCTGTTGAGAAACTTAAGATAAGGAATCAGAAAGATCACTGAAAAGAGACTGGATGACAGAGCAACAACCCTGAATAATTTCTAACATACCTTTTAATAGTCTTACAATATTTTTTCTGTTTTCGTGGTTCCTCAAAGCTCTCTTGCTGGTTAATTTTTGTATCTGAGGAATTAAATTTCTGGGACTTTTTCAGATTGGGAATTGAGACTGAATTGATAAATAGTGCAGATTTTCCCCAAGATATTGAGCACAAGCAGAAATGTTTATTGAGCTGATATTTTTAAAAAATAAAGACTTAATTAGTCAATGTGGCTTAACTTGATCTGTCCTTGTCTAAATGATATTTTACCATTATATAATACACAAACCCACTTAGACCTAGAGAGATTAGTAAGATCACTCCGGTTAAGAAATCAAGACTTCAGATGGCAGAAAATAGATTCTGGTATAAGAAATGGATCTAGAGCCAGATAGCACTGCTCAAATGGGGTACACCTGGAGCCCAGATCCAGGTGGATACAGACTGGGAGTGTGGATTGAGGTTTACAACAAAATATCACTTTTGGCACTACCAAGTGAGAAGTTGTATGCTCTGGTTAGGGCAGATTTGGAAATATTTATTCTAAAGCTTGATGTCACTGGAAGATCTCATGTACTGCTGGATGCGTGCGCACATAAGAAACACACAGGCTATTGCAAAATTCAGGGTACATTCACAGCAACGCACCAAGGAAATGCTTGGAGGGACTTACTGCACTTGTGACTGCATTTCTTCCCAGTCCTTTGCATAACTAGGTTTGCATAAGCACATGATCTGGACTCATGTAATTGAAACTTGATTATCAAAGACTTCAATACCCTCCAGTGAAACGCAACTACGTTCCATCAATTCATAGGCAAAGAGGAACTCACCTTTCAAGCCCTGAAGAAGGTTCTTCGCTGAATTCTGAACTTTCACTGCTTTCTGCAAAACAAAAGGGCAGATATTTAAAGAAGGTGGCAAAACCACCTACAAAACAAGTCTACGCCCCTTACAGAACCCAAAAGGTTATGTTAGAAATTGATCCTTGGTTTCATGCTGGTGAAACCCCGAGCCACAAAAGATTGCAGTTTTCTACACGTAAAAATATTTTAAGGAAGCTTTAAAGTTGTTATTATGTTCCCCCTATTGCATGGAGAAGAAAATTGCTCTTAAGCAATTCTATTTATTGAAAATAAACAAACACATCTACAGATTAACACAACCACATCTGGGTTTCAATAACACCCCCCCGCCCCCGCCACAGACAAAGGACAGACAACAGAGAGATGATCAATTTTCCTTTAATCAAGACAAAGAACATGAACTGACAGTTTGGTGCCATGGCAAATCACCCAGATACCCTGCTTGTACTGATTATCATCTGAATATGGGATGAGGACCTTTAAAAATCAATGGAATCCCATTAAATTCACTTGAAGGGAATTTAAAGTTGAGTATTTAACAGTCAAATGGGTTTTCTTTTTCAAACTGAGTAGCCTGGGGTTTTTTTCTTTTTCTTTTTGGTGTTTTGCTTAGATGCATTGTTTAGCAGTAGCCACCATAACAACACTTCTTTCCCTGTTTCAAGAAGACTAAATTACTCTAAATGTTGACTTCCATTGCTAGGAACTGTCCAACGTGACCATCATTTGGGATGGATTGATTGACTAGGTGATATGTAATGGTAGCGCATTTCCACATTTGAGTTATCAAATGACAATTGCATTACACATTGCATGGAGTAGCTTCTTGCAATCAGAAACTCATGCCATAGTAGACCAACCCCAAGCCATAAAAGACACAATCATTTCTCCAATCAACTCTTTCCTCACTGTCTTGCCTGCTGATTCTGCCTTCTACCTATAGCCAACTCTCTGTTTCAGTTAAGCATTGAAGAATATCTTCCTGCTTCCTGAGTATATCATTCTTACAAGTGTGGCTTGTGCTCTCCTGCCTTCTAAATGATGCGCTTAATACTATTTAAACTTGAATGTTTACCACCGTTTCTCAATTCTACCGAAGTACCGCCACAAGTTGCACAACAACAGTACAAAAACTGAAGATGCTCCATGCCTCAACCACTATATTCTAGCAAGATCATCCAGTTACCTCGGCAAGTGAGTTGAATGAAGACAAGCCACAGAGAAAGTGACTCATATAATGTTCCTAGATAAGTAAGAAGTAACTCTTAAGCACTAGGCATTGTAGGAGGAGAGTTGTGTAAATCTATGGTGGCAGAAAATCAGGAGGAGTCTGGTAGCATCTTTTCCAACTAATGCATTTTATTAAAAGGCATCAGCTTTTGTGAGTTGAATGGAGTCCCAACAAACAATAATGTTTGTTAGTTGGAAAAAGTGCTACCAGACTCCTGATTCTTAGGGACGTGATGTTTCTTTCTACATATATGCACAATTCTTCTTTGCCCTGAAACAAAATGTCGTTTTTCTGATTTGGTAACTCTAAGCGCCTCTTTGAATTTCAGAGCAGAAGAGATGGACAGGCAGGGCTTCAGCAAGTCTCTGACACCGAAACTACTGAATACTTACCTAGAGATATGCCATTGGTGAAAACAGAATTTAATGGATGGTTCCTGACAGGAGTGTGAGATTCTAGCACACTGTCATCCAGCAGGTGGCGCGGTTTCTCTGTTGGGAATGTTGCACTTTTACTTTGTACTACACTGAACTGACACATCATGCTGGAAAATTGGAAAAGAAAGAAAGAAAGAAAGAAAGAAAGAAAGAAAGAAAGAAAGAAAGAAAGAAAGAAAGAAAGAAAGAAAGAAAGAAAAGAAAGAAAGAAAGAAAGAAAGAAAAAAGAGGGAACATTGTCTTAGGTCATCGGATAACATCCATTCATTCTCACGTTCTGCCCACATGGACAATGTCCTGCATTGGGTTCTTAAGCGTCGGTCAGTCCTTAGGGCAAAGACAGCCACACGGACCCGTCTATCATCTCCTTCTCTTACAACTTCATTCTAATGATCTATACAAAAAATGGCTTTTAGCAGCTACTGGCCAAATACAGATGGGGCTTTGGCATTTTCTTCTCCTAATGCTTCTACAAATGCTGCTCCGTTAGTGATGCAGATTACAAGATTCAATAATCCAGAATTCATATTTGAGTGAAATCCCTAAGAGAATGGCGGGAAAATAACATGCCTTTCTGCTTCTAACCCTAAGCCAAAAGCACAGATTCCTAGCTGAAATGCTGATGTGCCTCACATCTTTTAGACCAACTTTGCACACATAGGGTAGGAAGAGCCATCCTTCACTTGGGTTGCAAAGAAAATTGAGGTTCCTTCTGATCATATTTGCCTACAGAGATTGGGCACCAGAGCAGACCGTGCAGCGTCTGCAAGATGAGACAAGGTGATTCTTTGACAAGTGTTTCACTAGGAATGAGAGTCACTCCAATGAAACTAGAGAAAGGAGATGATGGGTTCCTAAGAAAGATGTTGCTGGTTGCAGCAAGTTTTCAACTGCTGTATCAAAAAGGTTTAACAAGCTCTGACTGGACTGTAGGTTTCAAGGCAGACGGCAACACCCACTTGTTTCCCAGGCTGTGACTCTTCCTGTGTCGTGGTACAGGAGGAGTTGGCAAGCTGGCCGCTACCGAGGCATCAGGACAAGTTGGTCTCCTGCTGAACCTCACAGCTGCTGACACTTCTGATGGACCTACAAAATAGACACCAATTAATGCTAAACTAAGTATCAGGAAGCCCATCGGTAGGGATCAGTTGCTTTATTCTCAGAAAAGCTGGAAAGTTCTGTAGAGGCAGATGAATATTAAATGGAGAAGAAAGGAAGGCAGGGAGGCAGGAAGGAGGGATTGGTTTCAAGAGGATTGTCACAGTTGGCCAATGTGTTCTCAAACCCTGCTTCCTGCCCACCAGAATGACGCCATCTCTTACTACTGAAGAGTCCCTTCAATTAAACTGAAATATCAGGTGATCTTGAAAGCCATGCTGCATATCATTTTGACAGCAACAGCCTACCAAAAAAATGTAAAAGCAAATGAAAAGTACTATGGTAAGAACCGGACAGAGCAGTGTTTCAGGTGTGACCATCAGTGCTTAACAAAACATATGCTTTGAGTTTATTTGCAACCTGACTTGCCAGTAAACAATTTGTCAGTATTGATTCACAGCATAAGCATTTAGGGGGAAACGAGAGGATGTTTTATAGAAATCTGAGCCAGACAGATGACAACTCTGGAGATTGAAGATGGTTTTGGTGCCAATAGGTTACACATTTTTAGCCAGCATGTGTGCTGGACAATGGACAGAAAACAACGTTATCACATTCTTCAATGACTTCCTCAAGACTGCATGGAACCAGTACTGCAGGCATATATGTACGTACGTGTGAGAGGATTAGATATGGGTGACTTGAGAATTGCTCCCAGACGGAAGACTCCCTCCATCTGAGGCAACAGTCCTTAGGCCTTCACCAACACAAGGCCTTGGAAAAACAATTTACCTCTCATACTTGGGGAGATTCTCTCTGCTAAAAGGTCCACAAGATGATGTTTTGCAAAATGGGTTTTAAGATATGAAAATTGTTTGATTCCCTACCCACAGGGGGGTTCTTTGCTGGCTTCCATATTTACACAAATTGAGCACTCTTTCCATTCCATAACTCCCAATTTTTAAGAAAGGTGGCAAGAACAGCCTGTCCAAATTTTTGGCCCATGCAAAGTATTATTTTAGACCCCCTCATGGAAAATTTTCAGATTGGTTAATTCAGGAGAACCAGGCTTCAGATCCAGACCGTCTACTTCGACTGATGCATTAGCCTACGTCATCTATCAGAAAAAAATGTTCTGACCAATCACACAGAACTCTCTAAGTTCCCTTCATTAATTGGAAGGCAGCCTTTGATTTGTTACGTAGAGAGAAGCTACAGAGACATCAGGCTACGGAGAAACTAACGGCTCTGCATATAGATTTATAACTAGAGATTGCGGTTTACTCTGATTAATGATGATGCTTCATGTAAACACACAAACGGGGAACAAATGTGCCACCACTGGAAGGCGTTCTGCTTCAGTTCCCATTCTAAAGGGAGTCAAAGATACATTCTTGCCCCTATTTATTCAATTTTTATATTATTTTCATTGTTCAGGCCCTATCTAAATGTGAGTTTTATTATCCAACGTTAGACATTAAATCCACATCCGTTCTGGTTTATGCTAATGATGCCATTTTTCTCCCCCAACACAGGTGGGCTATTGCTGAAGCCCAACAACCCTTATCAACATTCTCTTTCAATCAGAAATTAATTACAACAAAATGTAAGTGGTTTTATTCACCAAGTGATGTGTTAACTGCCTTCACAATTAGAAAATTAATGGTATCCAGATTGAACAGATCAAAGATTTTAAATATTTAGGAGTTGTTGCTTTTTTTTTTTAAATCTTCCACTGCTTTTATCTCTGCTGAAGCCAACTTTTTCAGAGCCAACTTGCTGAATCCTTCGTTCAATGGAGGACAGCTGTCTATACAGGCACGAGAGCTTTAAAAGCAGTTTAATCTAAATTCCTAAGAATTTATGCCTCATGTTTCCTGCTGTGTGTGAAATGCTGGAACTTGGCTTTGCTCACGTGAGAATCTGCCAACTGAAATACTGACTAAAGCTAATTTGGCTCATTAAGTTCTTACTGATGTTTCTTTCCTCTTAGAAGAAAGGCATTGTCTCAGATTCGGCTTATTATGGCCTCTCAGCACAATCCCTGCTACTACTACTTAAGCAAGTCAACTTAGGGGTTAAGCAGAGAGTCCTTGGTTTGGATTTGCAGCGTGATAGGAGCAGAACTCCTGACTACTACAAAGGCCACCTCTGTCACGGGCTTTTCTTCATTCTAATTATTTCCCCAACTTTCTTTCTGCCTGCGGAAGAGAGCATTCACCCACGCCAGGCTCCACATTTCAGCACTGATGGTTTTGGAGGAGAGGTTTGGAAACACCCAGTTGTGGGATTGCCCAGGTCCATGCTTGATCAGACGCCTTGTCTTATTCTTGGCATTCTGATTTAATAACTCCTATTTTAACTAACTGCTTGGGTTGGTCCGCAGACTGGTCTACAGAAACTTCTGGGAAGGCTGCCAAATGTTGCTTTGTTGTGATTGTGGCAAGAAGGTGCTGGGTCTATGTCTGAACATGTTTCACTTAATCACTGTGGCCCGAAAAGCTTTGTAGGTTATTTTACTTCTTTTAATCAAACCGTTGGGTCTTTCTATCATTAAAACCTTGTTTTACAAGTTCGTATCGCAGGTGATATTATGACCATAAATAAAATATAATAACCCAGCCATAATAGGATTTCTTTCTGACCACACTGGAGTGAAAAACAGAGCTATTCTAAAAAAATCAGGCTGCTACATCCAGATTGTAAAGCAGTGGAGGACGAAGTGATGCCTGAGCGTTCAGAAGGACAGTACACCCCACCTCCCCGCCATTCATAAGACCTATGCTATGGATCAGACTATCTATAGCATGGATAGTCTAGGCAATTAGATAGAATCTAATTTAGATTCTACACCAACAGCAAGCAAGCCTGCTTCTTAATAACGTTTTTATTTCAACTCAGGTCCAGTGAGCAAAAAGGCATTAACTCATTTAGCGCAGAATAAAGAATTTGCTGGAAACAGCTAGCTTCTTGTTGAAGAAAAGTATTATATATAGGAATCCAAGCCCAGCCTTCATTTTGAGTTCATAGTAATAGGGAATGAAGAAATGGGCTTTGATTAAAAGCATATTTTCCATTTTTATTCCTTGTAACTTTCAGCTTTAGCTAGCTTCTTGGCACCCACTAACCAGAGCACTGCATCTGTAGGACTTAATCCACACAGAACCTAAACAGATGAACAGAAGATCCCTTGGAAGGGAGATGCAGAGCTGACACTGGAGAAGAGCAGGAAAAAATCTGGGGGACAGCTCTCATTCTACAGATATTGGCGAACAAGACAAAAAGTCTTATGTTCTCCTTCAGTCTTGGTCCTGTCTTCACGCACACACATATGTATGTGATCAAAGGGGCGGTCTACCCCGGTTAGCAATAAGCATTTAAGACAATTAGTGCTCTTGGGGAGTGAGTCACTTTGGCATTATGTAGCTGCTGAGAAGGACTTATAATAAAAGGTCAAATACATTTCCAAAAAATGCAGCTCTGTTCTTTTCTTGATCGGGGTGTAACCAGAACGACATATTGTAAGTTGCTGCAACAGAAATATTTTCTTCAACTTTGGGAAATGACTTCTTTTCAAAGTTCCATTGGTCCAGTTCTGTCCATTCCCTGCAGACAATGGATGAGCCATGGATAAACTAAGATTCTTGTGCCATATAAACCTTTGGAGAGTCTGGTTCATTCTCAATATCAATAATATATGCTGATTTTACTGTGGCTTTCTGACTTGCAAAGAAGCTGTCACATCATCTTGAAGACTTAACCAAGGCTTCCACATTACAAGAGATACTACGTGGAGATACAGCATGTTTGATCTAATTTGTGAAGCAAGTATGAAATCATTTTGGACCTATAAGACAGTGGGAGGGCTGGGAAAAATCAAAAGATGCCAAGACTGCATCGCTCGCTTTGCTGATGTTGTTGTACAGCACAGTCCAGAATAATTGTGATGCCCAAGATAATTTCTTGTTGATATTTTTATTCAATCATCTCTTGGGGGGGGGGGGTAGTATGTTACATGTTTGGGTAGTATGTTAATTCTCTGCAATTCAGTGTACCCAGAACAGAAACAACCCAAATCAGACTAAACACCAAGCAAAGTAACCCCTACAAAGCAAACAAATCCCACTACAATGAAGAAATCGCATCACTGCCTGTGTCCTAAGGCTATTCCAAGTAGCGATCCAATCTGGTTGATTTTAAAAATCAGTAACTGAAAACAGATATATCTTAGGGCTAATGTCCATCTTGGTAATTAATATCTGCTATCAACATTAAAGGAAAAGTTTTAATAACCCAACTCCAAAGTCACAAAGAAAGTTCAAGATTTCAAGAATCAAGTCATTCCAAGGGCTGAGCGTCATAATTTGTCACTGCTTTATGCATCATCCTATTGCAACATTTTGCTTGCTTTCTGCAGTGGCTTTCATGAACTAAGCATCTTTGGGGTTGAATAAAACCTGTTGCTGAACCACAAGTAAAAGACTTTTCAGGTGAGAAATAAAACCGTTCGCACACCCTGTAATCCTATGTTCAACCTTCTCTCCTTGGAGGACAGCTATCCAAGTTTACCAAAGATTCAGTCTCCAAATATGCTGACATTGGAGCGCTCGCTGAATGCTTAGTTACTCTGAACCTGTCCTTCAACTGTCACCAGGGAGGAGCCCTCTCACTGGGTTTTTGGAGATCACGAAGGGTAGCTTTGCTGAAAGATGAGCTTTTATGGGCTCCTTACTCCTTAAACATTTTTTTCCTTTTTAGTTGCTCATTATACGATGTCCTGTCTACTTTAAACAATGGTGACTATGTTTTCTTTTCTTCGTGTCCTAAAGTCTGTAATTCTCTGGGCAGGCATCTCTTTTTGTTTTTACTTATTGTATGTAAATTGTTCTGGGACCCATTTCCTTTGAACAGAGAGGAAAAATACTTTGCATAAACGAGGAATAGTCTTCCCACTCTGTCTAGTTCTAGGACATATTATTACAGCAAAC